AAAAAAAAAAAAAGTTAATAGAAAAAAGAGAGCCTTTTTTTTTTTTTTTGTAACTATGGAGTAAGATGTTACTTTGTAACTGTACCTGTATTTGCTGCAAGGAAAATCAGAAGCTACTTCTATTTCTTTTCATTCCTTCTTTTTATACTTTTGTCTTTTTTCTTCCTCTCTTTTCCTTACTTCCTTTTCTTTACTTTATATTAGTTATTGCTGGTTTTATCTGAAAACTTTTTAAAAAATCAGAATGTGGCAGCTTTGGTAATTACTCTAAAAGCTGCACTGGTTCTACCGGGCTTTGGATGCAATTCAATATGCTGGTTATAACCTGTTAAAGCCCTCCATGGTTCAGGAACTGGCTTTCTTTCAGGGCTCCCTTCTCCCACTGACCACAGCCCCACAAAAAGATCTGAAAGAGGGAGCTCCCTCTGGGTTCCTACTACGACTAGGAAACACCATCTTTAGGACTTTCTCTGTTTTGGCACCCCTCCTCTGGAACAGCCTCCTCCAAACACCAGAGTGTCCCCACCATTGCACTTCTATAAAGCCAGTATAAAGTGGCTGGGTTTAGCAACACTTGAGATCTAAAGGATAGAATCCCCACCCACCCACAGGCAAATGTTTGCTTAAGTGGTATTCTCAGTACTAAGGGTCTTATGTGATAATGAAGATGATGATTTTATTATTATTTTGGCTATTATATCAATCCAGCAAGATATACAGTACAGGGATCATTTTAACAAACCACACTACCTTCTGATTTTTCTATCTGAGGCATAAGTTATAGATAGAAATGCACAATCCCCCGTACTTTCAAAGTGTACATTTCACAAACAGTCCTATGCTGATTTACCCAGAAAACAGTCCCACTGTATTCAATGGGTCTGATCCCTAACAAGCAAGCATACAAGTGCAAACCTTTAATTCTAAATAGCACTGAATATGTCAGGACATACTTACACATTTTGTAAGGTTGAATTATAACTTTGGCTAATGCTATTTAGTCCAGTTCCCAATGAAATTACGTATTACCAAACATCATTTCCAGCCAATATACCCAGCACGCACAAATAAAGCACTTGCTGTACTTCAAAAACTAATCTGCAGCAGTGCATGCCTTTGATCTGGAATTAGGAAAACGGTTCTCATGCTCTGCCTCCTATTTTCATCCATCAGATCGCTTATCCTGGCAGGTAAGATTCCTTCATTATTCCTTAAACAAGGGAGCCACTAAAGGAAACTTCCGGTAGGTTCTTTGAACTCAAAGTGGAAAGGGATAATTCCTTTTTGCTGAGTTGCTTGAATTCTATCCTGCCTTTCCCCAGGAGTTTAAGGCAGGAATATAGCGGTCTCTTCTCCATTTTTTTATCCCAACTACCCTGAGATGTAGGCTGAACTGCGAGAGGGAGAGACAGGCTCAAGCCCCCAGTGGGCTTCCGTGGCTGAACATGAACTTGCACCTGGGTCTTCTAGCACCTCAACCACATCCCACTTTCTTCAAGCTTAGACACCCAACTTTTAATTTCCCTACGAACATCTTCATTTTTAATCTGATTATTCGCCCTTGAGCGAGACTTCCGCGTCTGCCTCTCCTCCCACCTTCCTCCCGATGAAACTGAACAGCCCAAGCGGGAGACCCACGTAGCCCTCCAAGCCCGCCCGGGAAGGAGCCAAGCGCTTCCACCACCTTCTTTCCACCAAGCCGGACTCAGCCGCGAGGCACCCACGTGGATTCTCCAGACGGCCCACGGAGGTCACGTGACACCCTACGGAACCAGCGGGAGGGGGCGGGGCCATCTTGGTCAGCTGATCCCCCTTCCTGGGCGGCGGGCGCCGAAGCTCGTGGTTGGGTGTGCGCTTCCTCTTTTTCCTCGGCGGTCGCCCTGAAAGAGTTAACGGTGACGACAAAGGTTCGGAGCCTTTTTCCCGCCCCTTTTCTTTGATCGACAGATTCTGAAGGTTTCTCAGTTAGGAAGAGACCGCATTTTCTTCTGTCGCTCCCTTGCCCGGATTTAACGTGGGAGCCCACAACAGACATATATTACTGGGCACAAAAAGAAATCATCACCATCATCCCAGGTCCTTGGGAAGGACTGGATAGGTGGACAAAAATGCCAAATCCTGTGTAAACATCTGGCTGACTGTGCGAGCAGCCATCCTCATCCTCATCCTGCTCATTATTATTAACGAGAAATGCCAGCCCCGGGGACCGCCTTTGTGACAGTCATGCAGTGTTGTTCATCTGCAAGCGACCGGTGAACTGGGAGTATTTCTTCCAATTTTGGTCGGACTTCCCAGCCCTACCTCTCCCATCAAAAAGTGGTCTTCGTGAGCCTCGCAAGTCTGTTTCTTAATCTTTTCCCTCTCACTGCCAAAGTGCAGAACTCGTTCCTCGTACAAGCCTCGTGCTTAGCTGACCTCCATGAAGGGTCATGGCGCTTTTTAGTGTTTTTGGACGAATCCTCACGACCAGCAACTCCCTGAGTGAAGGATCCTTAAAGACAGCGGGAGAAAGCAAGCAACAGTCCTTTCAACCATCCAGTGTTCTGTAGGGTGTTTTGTTTTCTGTTTTTTGTTGTTGTTTTTGCGTTTATTTTTACATAATTATTGCTTTATAATATATAATTGTTTCCCGTATTTATAAGCAGCCAACGGGATGGCTGCAAAGTGGGATGTTGGTTATCCTGCAAAGTGGGATGTTGTTAATATAAATGAAAGTATATTGGATGAGTAGACACACTTTTTGCAACAGAACTGAGTTGCATTTACGGGGATGATCCCTATTTCCTCGCTTTAAAAAAAAAAAAAGAGAAAAGATGTCTAAAGAGTGACGTCACAAGCTTGAAACGTGGAACTCCAACGTACGTCTAGAGCTCCGTCTCCTAGCTCGTCGCTTTCCTTCCTAGCTGTACGTGGTGTTCCCATTGGCTCGGAGCGTGGCGAGCCGCGATTGGACAACGTCCCCCGCTACGAGCACGAGGGTCTCCGGTGGGGGCCGACCGATTGGCTGGAGGGCAGCGTGGGTGGGCCTGAGCCAGAGTTCTGAATGGGCCCGGCGCGGAGCCGGCTGTCGAGCGGGGGCTGCCGGAGATGAGAGCCGGGCCTCGCTGGAGCCCCGGTCGGGCGCTGTGGAGATGGCTGGAGGCTTTCGCGCCCCTCGTCCTCCTGGCCGTCGCCCTCCCGCCGACGTCGTGGGCTCTGGGCTCCCCCGAGGAGAGACTCCGGCAGGCCTGCAACACTTGTCGCGGAATCGCCGACCGATTCACTCAGGTGGGAGGCGGGGAACGATAGTCTGCCTTTTCTCCGTTAGCAGCTCTGTCAGCAGTTTAGGTAGGCACTTAACCGTGAAAAGGAGGGCGGAGGGAGAGCCCCTAACTGCAGCCACAGCTGCCGTGCGCTCAATGTGCGGAAATAATGGGGGAAAGTTGGGTTTCCCCGCCTCCCTCCCATTAAAACTAGTACTTAAAAATTCTGACAGGAACAAATAATAATTATACTGTGTACTGACTTACTTTTAATAGCATTATAGTTAGGGGTGTGGCATTATAGGTAGGCTTCTGCATTATTATTAGATTTTTATCCCTTTTTTAATTTGGTCAATTCAAGGCGAACATACTTAATACTCCTCATGATGATGATGATGATGATGATGATGATTAGATTTTTATCTGGCCTTTTTTATATATAATTTAAGGCAGTGAACATACTTAATATTCCTCCTCATTACTCTTATTAGTTTTTTATCCCACCTTTATATATATAAAACTCAAGGCAGCAAAAATACTTAGCGCTTATTATTATTATTATTATTATTATTATTATTATATTTTTATTCTACCTTTTTTATATATAACTCAAGGCAGCAAACATATTTAATCCTCATTATTATTATTAGATTTTTATCCCACCTTTTTTATATATAGCTCAGGCTGCAAACATACTAATACTCCTCCTCCTCTCATTTTCCGCGCAACAACCACCTGTGACGTGGGTTGGGCTGAGAGAGAGTGACTGGTCCAAAGTCAGCAGGACGGCTTTTATGCCTAAGGGAGGCCTAGAACTCACAGCCTCCTGGTTTCTAGGCTAGCATCTTAACCATAACACCAAACTGGCTCTCATGTTCCATAAGTGTTTTTTTTTATTAAAAGTTAAATTTTAAACTAACAGAAAGCATTTATGACTATGCTTACTAATTCAGTTTTATGGTGTTACAGATAGGGATGGGGATTTAGTTAGGCTTGTGCGTAATGTGTGAAAGTAATTTGGGAAAATCATGTTCTAACCTTTTTAAAACTCAAACATGTAGTGCCTTAACTTATGACATAAGAAAATATTTAAGAGCTGTGCAAAAGTAGAACTCTTTTATTTTAGGATTAATTATTGGAAATAAGATTACTGTTAGGTGCACTGACACTAATGAAATTTTGAATCACTGCTCTTGATCCTAGAGTACATTGATAGGGTAGAGAGTTACTGCTTTAAAAAATGTTCTTTAATATTTATTGGTTTGGGTGCAAACAGGTAGAAGGAGCAATAATCTGTCCATTAATAGCACTTAACCTTTGTATGGATTTGAAGTATGAGCTGTCAAAAAAGAGTAAATTAGTTCAGCTGCAGAGTAATGTATTTGTCTATTGTAGGTACACTTCCTATAAATATTTCTTACTGGATCTTGATGGAATAAACTGTGTAGAGATGAAGTAACCTGTTGCTTTCAGATTTCTTTAAATTCTTCTTCAGAAACAAAGGGGAAAAATAATGTATTTGTTATATACAAATATATAATTGATTCTAATGTATGATGTAATGTATGCTATGATGTACCTTTTTCAAAAAGAATCTGCTTTCTATTGGTTAATATTTTGAAAAATTTCTTCCTAAACTTTAATTTCTGTTCTGAAGGGTCTAACAGACACTGCAAAGAAGAACTTTGGAGGTGGCAATACAGCTTGGGAAGAAAAAACATTGTCAAAATATGAGTCCAGGTACAGTATATATTATTTTTCTTCTCAGTGAGCTAATATTCTTCTTTATAATAAACAAGAACAAGGTGCCTGAGACTGAATACAGTATATAAAACAGAGATTCTGTTAATTTAGAGTTAAGTACCAGACTGCTGTTTGAAGACAGGAGTAGCAAAGATACTTTTCACTTTCATGTTGATATATTTAAGTTTGACCCAAGTATCAATGTCACCTGGGCCATACTGTAGTTTTGCAGACTCAAACCCAGCACAAATATCACACCAAACCTATTAAAACAAACCAGAAAAGGGAGAGAGGAATTTATACATGCAAGGACACAAGCTTTAAACAAGTCCAGAAGTTGCTGTTAGCTGCTGAAAATGTCTAGGCCTAGTATCCATGTCTAACTTTCCTTTGATGATATTGTGCATAATGCTGCAGCTTCTATTACTAGTTTATTTGTTATAGTAATGTTATTAAAGATTACAATTACAACAGTAAAAATTAATAAAAGAATTAAAAAGAATTAAAAAATAGAAGGTGCAGAAAAGAAAGAAAAAAGAAATAGAAAAGAAAGAAAAAATAATATAGTAAA